GCCTTGCCAGGCTAATCCCCAGGGAAGAAAGCGCCTGCTCTTCCGGGCGACGGGCAGCGGCTGGCGAGCAAAACCCAGGCACCGGAGCAAGGGTTGGCAGGGGGGCGGGGCTACAGTGACAGGGGCCAGCAGGATGGGGGGGGGCTGGGAGCCAGGACTCCTGGGTTCTCTCCTGGGAGGGGAGTGGGATCTAGTGGTTAGAGCAGGGGCGGGCGGGGGGTTGAGCTAGGACTCCTGGGTTCTTTCCCTGGCTCTGGGAACGGAAGGGGGCTGGGAGCCAGGACTCCTGGGTTCTCTCCAAGGGAGTTGTTTCTAGTGGTTAGAGCAGCAGGGGCTGGGAGCCAGGACTCCAGGTTCTCTCCCTGGCCCTGGGAGGGGAGTGGGGTCTAGTGGTTAGAGCAGCGGGGGCCGGGAGCCAGGACTCCTGGGTTCTCTCCCCGGCTCCTCCCCTGCGCTAAGATTGTAGCTTTGGTCTCTGCCTCAGGCGGCTGCGATGGGGCCTAGGCCGTGTGCCAGGGTCCCGGCCAAACTCAGCTCCCCTGGAAACGCCGTGAGGGGCAGGCCCCAGCTTTTAATCCCCCCCCCCACGCTCCAAGCTGGGGGTGTCAATAAACCACCCCCGTCTCTTCGCATCTCCTGTGTGCGTCTCGCCCGCCCGTCCGGCCCCACCAGGCAGCCACGCGCGGGGAATCCGAGATGAACTTTAATATAAGACACAAACCGGGGGATAAAACGAAAAGCAAACAGAACCCCCCGAACCCCCCGCATCCTCACCCAGCCAGCGCCCGCCCCGGGGGCCAAAACACCCCACAACGGCCCCACGCAGCCCACAAGCCAACGGCTCCAGACCCAGCCACCTTAGGAGCCCCCCCCCCGCAAATCACTGTGCAGAGAGAATAACACGGGGAGGCAGGATCCAACCCGGGAGAGGGGGTGACCCCCACAGCCAAAGGCCAAGATACGCTAGGAAAAGGGGCCCGGGGGAGGGATTTGGCGACCCAGCGTTTGCTGAAGCGGGGGGGGGGGGGTTAGCAAAGAGTTTCCATCTCTCCTGTGGCCATTGGGGGCGGAGGGGGGGGGCCTGTGTGTTGGCCGTAACCCCACGGGGGCCCACTAGGGTTTACACTGAGCTGCTGAGATGTGGGAAAACTCAGCGTCCCCATCCTCAAAGGGATGGGGGGGGGGCAGGATGTGGGGCTAGATGGGCCTGGGGGGGTGGGGGGCTCGGGAGGAGGCGGCATACCGGGGTAGATGGGCCCAGGGAGGGCAGGGAGGGGGCAGGTCACCGGGGTAGATGGGCCAGGGGGGGTGGCTCCAGAGGGCAGGGAGGGGGCGGGATACCGGGGGTAGATGGGCCCAGGGGGGTGGCTCCAGAAGGCAGGGAGGGGGCAGGTCACCGGGGTAGATGGGCCTGGGGGGGGGGGCGGCTCCGGAGGGCAGGGAGGGGGCTGAAGCCAATGAGGCCCCGGGTGCCCCTGATGGCTGGGCCGGAGGCCGGGGTGCCCAGGCGGGGTCCAGACCCAGCAGCCGGGGGTGACACACACGTGGGGCCCAGGACTGGATCTGAGGGGGGGGTTCGGCCCCAGGGAGCCCGTTAACCCTTCAGTGCCTGCTTCTTCCAGGGTATAGGGTGGAGGGCGCCCCCGGCCAGCCCCACCCCACAGGGGAGCATGACGCGGGGAAGCGGGGGAATGTGCTCGGGCGGCCCCTCTAGTCCTGGGGCTGAACAGGCGGGGGGGGTGCTGGGTCGGGGGGATACCAGGTCAGCGGGAGGGTGCTGGGTCCAGGGGAGATCCCAGGTGGAGGGTGCTGGGTGAGGGGGGATCCCAGGCCAAGGGGGTGCTGGGTCAGAGGGGGATCCCAGGCCAGGGGGAGTGCTGATTTGGGGGGGCAGGGGGAGTGTTGATTTGGGGGGGCAGATCCCAGGCTGGTGGTGCTGGGTCGGGGGGGATCCCAATGGGGGGTGCTGATGCTGTGCCCCCCAGCGGTCAGATCCTGGTGGGGGGCAGGGGGGTTATTTCATAGGGGATCCAGTTAGGATGCAGCCACCCCCCCAGAGCCCCCCGTTCTAAAGTGCTGCCTGATATGCGACCAGCCCCCAGCGTGGGGCCGGGATGGGGCCCAAGGCCCAGTGCTGAGCCTGGCTTCGTCGCTGCGCCGGGGGGCCCGGTCCCAGGGCTCCTCACGGGGCGGGGGGCTCGGCCGGGGGGGGCTGCGGCTGGTGGTCGGGGGCCGGGGTCTCTGCGTCGGGCCCGTCGGCCTCATCGTCTGAGACGCCCTCCAGCCGGAAGACCTGACGCACCGTGCGGGTGGTGAACGTCAGGGGGCCACGCCTGGGGGGGAAAGAGGGGTCAGTCCAGGCCATGGGCCCCCCACAGCACCCCTGCCTGCTCCCACGGCGGGCCCCAAGTCAGCGCCCCCACCGTGGCCCCTAGTTCACCTCCCTAGGGCCCCCCACAGCCAGCACCCCAGGTTCAACAGGGTCCCCCCAGCTAGCACTGTTGCCCCCTTCCCCCCCCCCGCCAGCTCCCCTGCTCCCACCCCCTGGGCCCCCACCACAGCCAGCACCCCCACCTTGCTCCCCACGGTGCCCCCAGTACCCCCCACAACCAGCAGCGCCCTCCTTGGAGGCCCCACACCCCATGCCCACAGCACCCCCGCCCCGCTCTGCCCGGCGCCCTTGCCGGAAGAGGCTAGAAATGACACACTTGGCCCCACACGCCCCCCCGGCAGCCCCCCCAACGCCCCCAAGCTGACGGCAGCAGCAGCGTCACACAGCAGAGCCTGGGGATCCGAGGGCACCCCGACGCCGGTAACTGCCCCCCACCAGCTGGTGCCTGGGACTGTACTGGGGCGGGGGGGGGTGTGTGTGGTGGGGGAGGGGAAGAGAATGGGTCGGGAGCGGGATCCCACAGCGCAGGGGGGGGGGGGACTTCCTGAGCTCAAGAGAGGGCAGAGGGAGCTCGGACAGGGGGACTGTTGGTGGGGGGAGGGGAGTTTGGATTGGGGGACCCCAGGAGGGGGCAGAGGGAACTCGGGGGGATCCCTTTCCCAGTCGATGGCTCAGCCCCTCCCCCCCCCCCCACACACCCACAAGCAGCCCCCCCCCCCCACGGGGCGCTGGGAGCAGGCACTGCCACACAGCACACAGGGCTGGCATGTCGGGGGGCAGCAGGAGCCGGGGGGGGGGACGTACTTGCGCTGGAGACGCTCCAACTTGCTGGGGGGTCGGAAGAGAGAGAAGGAAACAGGAGAGACGGAGAAAGTGAGAGAGAGAGAGACAGAGACAGCCCCAGCCACGGAGAGATGGGGGCTAGTGGACACAGCAGGCAGGTGGGGGGGGGGAAGGGCTGGGAGCCCAGACGCCTGGGTTCTCTTCGTGGCTCTTCTGCGGGTCCCACCCCCGTCCCCGTGCCTCAGTTTCCCCTCCTGTGCTGAACTATTGTGCTGCGCATAGATCCCTTTCACCTGAGCCTTGGGTTGGGGGCGCTGCCCGGCTGACGCCCTTCTCCAGCACCAGCTGGGCCCAAGCAGCACACGCCCCACACCCTGCCCCCGAGAGCCGGACCGACCCCCATCCCTGAGGGGGCTGTCTGGGGCACGGCGGGAAGAGCTCTGGGGTCAGGACTCATCAGGATGGTAGGAATTAGATGGGTGCCCAGAGGCCAGGTGGGGAGAGCTGGGTCCCCCCCAGCCCCACGGGGAGAGCCGGGTTCCACCCCCCCAGCTCCCCCCCAGCCCCGCGGGGAGAGCCAGGTTCCACCCCCCCCACCGCAGCCCTGCGGGGAGAGCCAGTTTCTGACCCCCTCTGTAGGACCCAGGCCCCCTAGAGCAGCCGGGTTCAAATTCCCGCCCCCCGGCACCTCAAGGGCTTGTCCTCCAGTTCACAGCAACCCCCCGGTGCCACCAGCCACCGCCTGGTGCCCCTGCCCCCCCCAGTGCCCAGCGCCCCCCGGTCACCTGAGCCGGTTGCGCAACGTGGTGACCTCGCGGTTCATGGACTCGGCCGACTCGGTGACGTCGTCCAGCTCCCGCTGCATGCGGCGCCGGCTGGAGTTCGCCCGCGACACCTCCTCCTCCGCCTCCTCCAGCTGCCGCTTCAACTGCTTCAGCCGGATGTGGCCCTTCTCCACCTGCCAGGCACGGAGCGGGCGGCTCGGCAGGGGCAGGGCAGGGGGGTGGCACTAGGGGGCTCCGTGCCACAGGGAGTGCGGGGCGCTGGGCCACACGTGCCGGCGGGGGGAGGTTTGGCAGGGGGCTGGCGGGGGGTGCGTTGTGCAACGAGGGGCCAAGCAGGGCATGGCAGGGGGCTGGCAGGAGGCACCATGGGGCTGGGCAGGGCAGTGGGTCAGTGGGGGATGCCGTGCTGCGGGGTATTGGTGTCGGTGGGGGGGGGTGCTGTGCCACGAGGGGCCGAGCAGGCCATGGGGCTGGCAGGGGGCACTGTGGGGCAGGGCACGGGGCTGGTAGGGGGCGCTGTGGGGCAGGGCAGGGTAGTAGGTCAGTGGGGGGTGACGTGCTGCAGGGTATTGGTGTCGGCGGGGGGGGGTGCTGTGCCACGAGGGGCCGAGCAGGCCATGGGGCAGGGCAGCGGGTCGGGGGGAGACGCCATGGGGCGGGCACATACCTGGTCCTTGAACTGGTCGGCGCTCCGACGCTCCTCCTCCACCTGCAGCACCACCTCCTTCAGCCGCTTCTCCGCCCGACGCACCAGCTTCCCAGACAGGATCCGCTCCCTGAGCCGGGAGGGACACGGGGGGGTCAGCACCAGGCTCAAGGGGGGGTGCACCGTACGCAGAATCCCCCAGGGCAGCCACATCCCTTCTGTGACCCCCCAGAGGGTTCTGGGTAGACAAACGCCAAGCCCCCCGCCCCAGGGGCATTCTGGGTAGTCAGGCCCCCTGGTCCCACAGCAGTGGGTTATACCCCAGGGGATACAGCCCCAGAGCATGCTGGGTACCTGGTTCCCAACTATGCCCCCCCACCCCTACCCTGCTGTCCAGCCCCAGGGCATGCTGGGTAGCCCCCCGCACTGCCCCCGGCGGCCTGGCCCCAGGGTCACCTGGACTCCTGCTCCAACTGCTCCTCCAGCTGGGCCACCTTGGCCTCCAGGGTGGCGATGGTCAGCTTGTACTTGGCCTTGACGGAGGAGTCCAGCTCGCCCAGCTTGGCCCGCAGCTCCTTGTTCTGCCGCTCCATCTGCTGCCGGGCGTTCTCCGCCTTCTGCGAGAAGCTGCGCTCGGCCCCCAGCTCCGTCGTCAGCGTCTCCACCTGCGGGGGGGGGGCGGGGGCTGGTCACGCGGCGCCTGGGAGCCCCTGCCCCAGCGGGCGCGTCCCCTGGCAGGCAGTGCTGGCCCCGAAGCCCTAGGGTGGCACAAGGGGGCGCTGGGCCGCGGGGAGCGGGGCAGGGGGCGCTGGGGTGCAGGGGGCGGGGGCTCGGCGGGGGGCGCTGGGGTGCAGGGGCTCGGCGGGGGGCGCTGGGCCGCGGGGAGCTCGGCGCGGGGCGCTGGGAGCTCGGGGGGGAGTCGGCGGGCGGCGGGGAGCGGGCTCGGTGGGGGGCGCTGGGCCGCAGGGAGCGGGGCGGGGGCTCGGCGGGCGGCGGGG